AGAGTAAAACAATTTGTTTTCAAAGAATTTAGCTGACTATACAAACAGCTGACATATAAGTGGGATCTTGTATAGCAAGAGAAAGCTTCTGAGGACTCCTCTGCCTTCTCAGGACGGTTTCCAGCCCCTAGGCCACACCAGTATTTCTCCTCTCTGACTTCCAATAGTCAGGAATATCAATGTATCCACAGGAGATAAAGCAATAGGAAACCCCCATTCTATGTATCATGCAAATCTATTATAATGATAGGCATCAGAATTATCATTAAGAGGAACCAGACATAAAAGCTATCGTTTGTAAAAATAGTCCTCCAAAATAAAAATATCTGCAACTGAAAATAATGGAAAATAGGTTGTCAGGAACTATGTTAGAGTAACCACGCTGTTCAATTTTCTGCTAGGTTAAACTATGGCTATTTTTTTTCTCTCCATTAAAATACAAAATGTCTACTTTTCTAACTGCCCAAATACATGTACTATTTCCCAAAGGCAAGTACTAATGGGTGATTCTACTACTCACTGGTAGCAAAAAGGGCTCCAGTCAGGCATTTCAAACAGGAACTCTTTTCAGTATAAGGTTTTGTAAAAGCAATTAAAAGGTACCTGTAAGTACACACTTAGCTGAAAACAGGCTGCTGAAATTATATGTGTGCCTCATTTCAACAAAATCCAATTGTTAGAAAAGATTAACTACAAAATTTCTTAAAGCAACTATATTCCAGTGTTGTTTGCAACACTAACTACTTGGCAGACTAGTAGAGGAACAGGAAAAAAAAAAGTTGAAACATTGATCTCTGAATTAACTAAGCCACCCTTCCCTACCTCCCAAAACCCCAACCTTAATTTTTAAGGGATTCCTATAATATGACAACTCTACAAATAAAAAAGGGGGCTGGGGAATGAGAGAGAAACAGAAGTGATGATAATTTAGGAGCTGAAAACTAGGACTTACACAACTGCCAAGTAGCTTGGAAAAGTTAATCACTATATAGTTCTGCTGCATCTACTCTGCTGCCAGCTTACTTCTGGGTATAATTCAACACCTTGAATTAATCTTTCATAGTTGGAGCCCTGGCGACCTAGAGATTGCGATTCTTCATCATCATAACTAGGCACAGAGATCAGAAACTATATTTCTACTTATAAATGAATCTCTAGAGGGAATAAGAGAAAGCTTCCTCTGATGGTTTCTTACTAACTTTACTCCCTTCTGCTTCTCTTAATTTCACTGAATCGCAGTTACTCAGCTTTAGGGAAAAGCACCTTTTGAATTTAGATTGATCCACAGGAAGTAATAAAAATGACGCCTTAGAAACTCCCTTTTTACACACTCGACACTGGAATTTTGATACTGATGTATTAAATTAAAAACAAAGTAACAGCAGAAGAAATATTATAGAGCTTTAGAACTCATTTTATGGGATTTTTATCTAGGATGTTGCTTTACTTGTTCTGAGGCTATCTGCAAAGAAAAGTTACAGTTAGACACAAAGTGGAGAGGCTGAAATAATATGTACTGGTGAAGGCTCAAGGTAAAACAACTTTCAATATATAAAATACTAGTGTTCTAAAGAAAATGGATTCTTCCAGGACACTGTCAATGCGACTTCACTACAATTCAAGACACACATTAGCTTTGGAGTCTGAAGCAAATAACGGTGATAGTTACAGGCAAGTAAGAATGAGATTGAAGAAACTGGGGTTTTGCCATTCCCGGACTTAAATAAGACTTTTGATTACTAGACAGCTTTTGAAGGTAAGCATGAACATCTCAGGTACCAGAAGTAGAGGCCAGACTTCTCGTTAAACAAGGAAACTAAATATTTCTATTTAACTCTACTCCCCATGAAACCCTAATAACATGACAATAAAAGACTATATTAGGGAAAAACTCAAATGCCCAAGAAGACAACCACCGACTAGAGATATCAGCAAACTTATAGAAGACAGAAGGCAGATGAAGAAAAAGTGCCTGTAAGGGACAGAAAAACGAAAAACGAACAGATTAAACCCTCAAGACTCAGGGATTTTTTGGGGGGGGTGGGGTGGGGGGAGTGGTGTCTAAAAATACAAGTCTGGTTATAAGTCCTTAAAAGAACCATTTTGACTGCCAGGCACTTAACCCTTCTTTCAACTGCAGGTTTAGGCTCCACAGAAGTTGACCAGGAGACTCTGGGTTTGAGAACCCTGAAGGACATCAGTGAGGCGCTGAAGAGGAGACAGAGTTTTAAATAAAGGGCTGAATTGAGCCACTCCTAGGCAGAGACTGGAGGAGTCCTCCAGCAGAAAATAAACAGCCCCAGAGAAAAGGTTCTAGCTCCTGAAGGGGGGTTGGGGGGGGCACGGGGCATGGACAGGGAGCTATTTATTTGGAAGCCTGCTTGACAGGGCGTCCCGCTAGAGCAGCGGTTCTCAACCTGTGGCTCGTGACCCCTTTGGGGGTCGAACGACCCTTTCACAGGGGTCGCCTAAGACCATCGGAAAACAAAAAGATATTTACATTACGATTCATAACAGTAGCAAAATTACAGTTATAGAGTAGCAACGAAAATAATTTTATGGTTGGGGGTCACCACAACATGAGGAACTATATTAAGGGGTCACGGCATTAGGAAGGTTGAGAACTGCTGCTCTAGAGGGAAACCCATAGTAGACAAGCTCCACCCATAATATACAAAGCCCCAACCAACTTTTTAGAATTTCATTTTTATATATTAATGAAATTTGAGGAAAGCTTCTAATAGGAAAAACAGAGTTTAAAACATGGGAGGGGGGCAATGAACTCAGAAGTCTCAGAAACAATCTGGTAAGAAAACCTCAGCAACAACAAAAACTATAAATGCTATCTTGAGAAAAACAACAGCAAGTATTGCCTCTATGAAACAAGATCAAAAAATAAAAGTAACCTTATAAGAAATAAAAAGTGTAATGAACTAGACAAAAAAGTCAAAGAAATAGTCTAAAATGTAGAATAAAAAGGCAGATTATCAAAAATGGGAGAAAAAAAAGAAATATCATCAGTCTAAGAGTTTCAATATACTACAGAGTATCAAAAAAGACAGAACAAATAAATCACATTGATAGGAAAGAAATTATCCAAATAATAGTATCAGAAATGTTCTTAACTGAGGAAAATGAATCACCAGTCTGCACAGGAGCTTAAATAACCAATGAAATGACGGGGGAGGAAACCAGGACACATGAAATCTCAGAACTCTGTGGACAGTAGAGAGCATCTTAAAGCACCAACCCCCATTTTTTTTAAATGAAAAAAAAAAAAGCCACACAACAGAAGCCATCAAGAATCAGAATGGCATCAGCCCTCTTTACAGCATCAATAGAAGCCAGAAAAGAATAGAATGCTTAAATATTCCCAAGGAAGGCTATAACCTAGGAGCTGTATTTGGCTATTATAATAACCAAAACATTTAAAATACACAATATCTCAAAGTTTATCTCCCATGCATACTTCCTAAAGAGCTACTACAGAATGTGTCCACAAAGCAAGGGAGAAAGCCAGGAAAGAAGACAGGCTCTAGAGAAGGCGAGAGCTCCAGGGGGATGTCACTGGACAAAGGAGTTTACCTGAAGGGGAGGACTCAGGGGAAACCCATACTGAGTTATTTTTGTTTGTTTCTTTGTTTTTAGTTCTGATGAAGACTTTGGGAAGCATAAATGGAAATTAAGGATATGGAAAAATAAAGCAATGGTTAATTGCATGTTGGGAGCATGGGAAAAGTGACAACGGGCAAGGATGGTGGCAGAAGAGCTAAATTTCTTATCTACCATACAGGAAGTCAATAGATTGTTTTTTAATAGGAGTTTTAAAATAGCAAGATAAGCCCTTTATTTAGAATCTAAGCATAAATGCCAGAAATAGCAGGAGGACTCAAAAGCAGCCTCCTCTGGGGAGGGGCAGGGGGCTGGGAACTGCTGGTTTTCTGTTATAAGCTTTACACTTACAGAGATGATTCCCAAAGCAGGGGAAACGTACATGTCACTTTAACTGCTTTCCACAAATCACACAAATCTATCTCATACATCATAATTACATACTAGTATTTAGTGACACACCAATTTGTTCGATTTAATTTACTTTGTTACCTGGGGGGAGGGGGGTGCCAAAAAAATGTATACAAGTGGACACTTTGGTCAGCGTTGCTCAAGCAATAGTTCCCTATAATGAGAAGTGTCTGGATGCTGATGGTAACCACTCTGAGCACCTCTTGTAATTGCAGAAGTCAAACATGACTTGTATTCATCTTTTGTTATCAGTATATATTGAGTATTACAACTTTAATACAGTTATTTTCTTTCTTAAAATGTGTATACATTTTTTGGCACTCTCTGTATATATATTAACACTCACCATGGATCCACCCAGCAGTATAATAAAATAGCATAAACTATTGTACCATGACAATTCCATAACACAGATTTGCGGTGTTTTCTGATGATTCAGAAAAATAGTTAAAAATTCTAAAGAAGGTTCCTCCAAAGTTTTAATAATATATAATTACTAGAAGTACCCGCACAAGGATTGGGATGTATTTTTCCCTGTATCGTGTACCTTTGTATCTACATTACTAGAGAAATTCCGGAAGTACGTTGTCAAAGACCCTATAGATACATGGAGGCATTTACAAACTATATTCGTATCTGTACAATTGAACCACTTATATGTAGATATTTAAATAATTCTCAAAGAATCAAGAGATCATTCAGTCTAAGCCACATGACATTTTCGTTATCAGAAAATTTTGACACAAAATAGGAAAAATCATGCTGACCAGTTAGAAACTGTTCTACTCTAAGGCTATGAAGACATCAAGCAACTTTGTTGCCTTCCATTAAAGATAATTTTAAAATTCCAAATCAAGTTTCTTGGCATTAGGTCTACCAATACAAATGAACAAGTTTTCTTTAATAAATTATGAAATGCATTCATCATTTTTAAAACTACTTCCTACCATAATTTTGAAGTATCAATGGATACTTACATTGACTAATCCAAAATAGTGCTCATTGACTGGAAACTGTTCAGGACCAATCTCTTTCTCTAATGCCGAGGCATTGGCGCCCTATAAAATGAAACACAAAAATCTTAGTATTTAGAGTACTTTCAGAATATTCTCACAATCATTTAGGCATTATGGAGACATCCTTTAAAATCTATGTTCCCTATAACTACCTAACATTACTGAAAGAACATAAAGGATGGTAGTGAAGAATAAAGGCTTTTAATAATATGAATAAAAACCAGTTTGCAGAAACTTTCTCATGGAACCAAAACCTGGATTTATATTCCTAATTTGTTCCTTTTTTCTAAATAATGAGCTAAAGCCCCTGCTGTATCATGTACTCTAACAGGAGAATAATCTGACAGTAGTCAGATGACTGAGATCAGAGAGCTGAAATTGTGTGAAATTAAATATGCATTTTTCAGGGGTCTAATAATTCTTCAGAGGTGTGTATACCTGAGAAGTTCTCACACAGAACTAAAGGTGACAGACTGTTTACTCAAGTGTCACTGATGATTGCACAGCTGACAGCAATCTAGATGGTTTCATAAAATATGATCCATATTATGTAGTATAGTCAGAATAAACTACATTTACAAACAAAAACAGGGTACTCCTCAAAACCATAATGTTAAATTAAAGAAAAAGAAAACTGAGATTAACACGTATACACATATATGCACAATAGCACACACATTGCTTCGTCAGGGACACAGGCACGGGGTCAACCAGCCATTTAGTGAGCAGAAGCCCACCCTTTCTGTCCCCGACAGAGGTCCATTCCTGAATCTGGGAGCCCAGGCCTTTGTGAAACTACTCATCCTCAACTTCCTAATGGACCAAGCCTGAAAATAAGTATATACTGCTTAAAGGGACCTGCTGGGTTAGTGGTCAAGTTCTACCAAAACAAGATTATTTCCTCTAGTATCTGCCAGCCATGCAGCGCATGTTACTTTTAGGCTTTATATAAAATCCTGACACAATCACTCATTTAGATGCCATTTATTTCTGAATTTGGCTTTCAATTACCTGTTTAGAACATTAAATTCAATTATTACAGCAACTTCAAGACCCACTGACCAAAATGGTCGTGGTGGGAACGCCACAAGCCCAACTCTCCATCCCCGTCAGCTCAAGTCATCTTGTCACAGAATTTCCTCACCTATGTTAAAAACTATCATTAAGCCCAGATGTTTACCACCTACTGTAAGAATTCAAACAGAAATTGTTTTGTTTTGTTTTTTCAAATGAGTACAACCTATTCCCCACAAAAAAAGAAGACAAGGTGCTATTATCCAAAATACAACCTCGTCATCTATGTGGAACAATAAATGTCAGTACGCACACCTGGGGAAGCATCCTGGCCTTAGGACCAGCTAAGAACAGAACATGTGAACATTAGTGCTGCAGTGTTGATATGGGCCAAGAGTAGCACCCCCCTCCATCCCCCCCCCCGCCCGCTGAAAACTTTGTTTTCTTTCTTATATGGATTTTAAATTTCCTTTTCCTGAAAGTTTCCTTTTTCCCCAGTTTTTTAGCTCCTATCCGCGATTCTTAATTATTTTATAAATCAGTTTCCTAATCATAAACAATAGATTGTTTTTAACCTGAATCATAGAAATCTCCTACACCCTGCTTTAGATAATTATCCTGAAATTTGTGATTTATACTTGTTGATTGAATCACTGAAGCCTAATGTTCTTTCCAACCTGTTCTGGGCCCAGCTCCTGGACAACTGACGCCACCTGAGTGACCGGCCGAATGGTCCTAGGCCGCATAAGAGCTGGAGGATTTTCCATCATAGAGCCACCCCACATCAATAGCTCTGAGCTCTGCTCTTTAAGCCAACACTTTTAAATTTATTAATTAATATCTATTTTTCCTCATTCAGGGGCCTGGGAGATACAAATGATACCCCAACAAGATTACCAGTCCTAACCAAAGAAGCCAACATGGTCTTCCAGGCAGATCTCAAGACCCCTTCCTCTCATCTAAAATCAGGCAGGGTGAGAGTTCTGTGATACCCCATAGGTAGGGACGGCTCTATGCCCCTGCCCAGCAGGAAGCAGATACAGAAGAAAAGACCTCCTGTCCCTCAACTTTCCCTAAAGATTTTATGGTGATCATGTCTCTCAAGGGGAAAACAAGGCAATCAGTTAGAGGCAGGCATTGGGTCTCTGCATTCCTGCATGTCCAACACAACCCACAGAATGCAACCGCCCAAAAGACCTCCCGTCTCAGCCCAAAACTTCCCCTTTTCATTGTAATTATCTACCCCTAAGAGTAAACAAATGAGTACAAAATAACCAACTAGATTAGACCAGTCACTCACACCTGTGCAGTAAAGGCCACAACGACCTTCATTTCACCTGAGCCTCCTTACACCATCATTATAATAGCATACATATTCCCGGAAGTTCATTATTATTATAACAGACTGAATTCTGGGAAGGAACATGCTCAGTCTAAAGAGATGAGGTAAAAGCCTGTTGTCAATCACAGGTATCAATCAAGTGGTCCCACGCCCAAATGGGAACAGCCCATTCTAGAGAAAAACAAGGGATAAAAACTCCAAGTCCTCGCCAGTCAGGGACCTTGCGCCCTTTGGGCCTTTGAGCCGTGGCCCACTCCTAACCCTTTGGAGTATACTTTTTCTTCTAATGACGGCCCTTGAGCCACTACCTTCTGCTTGGGCCCGCTTCTACCTCTTTGAAGCGTCCTTTTTCTTCTAATAAACTTCTCTTTCACCACTTTACCTGTGTCTCGTTCAATTCTTTGCTCAAGACACCAAGAACCTGGGCATTGCACTGAGGAGGGCCCACCCTCCTGCAACGTAGCGGCTAAGATTTCCAGTTTTCCTCCCCGAGGCCGGAGTTCGACCCCAGGTGTGGGAACCTAGCCCCAACTCCACCAGGTTCGACCCCCAGCGTGAGAGCCAAGCCTGGACACTGCTGGATTCAACCCCCAGTGTGGAAACCAAGCCTGGGAATCTCGCCGAGAAGGCCCCCCCCCCTCCAGTAAGTGTGATACCAATCACATGCCATACGACGTGTATTCTAACCAGCCCAATGTCCCACTTGTCCCCACATACACCACATACTTTCATGCACTGCTTAGAAAGCCCTTCCTCATCCCCTTGTACTCATGGTAGTTTTCACTACGGGTCAAGTTATTAGTTTCTCTGTGCCTCAGTCTCCCAAATGTAAAATGAAAATGTTACCAACTACTTAATAGGGTAGCACAAATTACCGAAATTTAAACTTTTGAAAAGGCATCTGGCAGTGCCTGGTACATAGGCCTATGTCCCATAAATGTTGGTTCTCTTCTCCCCCTTCCCTTCAACCCCAAGAGGAAAAAAATGCTACTCATGAGTTAGTAATATTGATAAATATCATCTGCTCCATGCAAAAGCTAAGAAATATGAGAAGGAAACAAAAATCAGGAGAAACAAATGAGACAGCTTTCAAAAAACACACACCCTCTCCTCAGTCTGACCAAGTCCACAAACAGGCCCCTGGAGGTGTCAACACTGAGCTCCCCAAAAGGCAACAGAGAAGAACCATAATCCCACGGGAGGTCTGAAAAAGGAAGCTAAAAGAGAAAGTGGAAACAAGCTATATAGGTCCTTGTCATTTAACCTTTCTGGGTTTCAGTCCTCATTTGCAACATAAAATGGTCAGTCTTCTCAGTGATTTTCAAAACCACCAGCTCCAAGTTTATCTTGGGTTTTCCAGGAAACCTTTAAATGAAAGAAGGTTTTCATAGTTAAATATGTTTTAAAAAATGAAAAGATTAGGTAATTTCCAAAGTAACTTCTAACTCAACATACCATCATTTCCAATCGCTTTTATCAATACTTCAAAGGACATTACGATATTAACACAAAATTCCAGGCAAGTCCAAGCCAGCTACACATGCCACACACCACAACCCAACAGTGAAGGATTGTGGTTACAGGTGGAGCACAGGCAGCAGACTGAAATGGAAAGTACAAAGAGAGTGGAGTTTCCTTTATGACAGCTCCACACTAAGGCACAGTGTAGCAGCCTGCCCCTACTCTGGTAATGATGCTCTGTCGCTGACTGCAGGAGTACATTCCTGGATCAAGACGTGGATTGTTTCTGCAGAAACAATCAGAGTGTGTGTCCCTGTGTCTAGTCCACTAACGACAAGGGGAAGAAGCAATCCAGTTTCTAATGAGTGGGTTTTGTTTAATTTAAAGTGTTTCAACACTAGAGTTAGATATAACTGGTGAAAACCAACGACCAAGCCAAAAAGAAAACCACCAAAAGGTGGATCAATTTAAAAATTTTAAAAATAACAACTGACTGAGCTGGTGAGAGAATAAAGAATCTGCAGAAACCAGAAAATAAAGTTCCAGGGAACCCTATGAGATAAGCAAACACCAAAGACAGATTTCATACTGAGGATATTTGCTAGCACTAGTGACCTCTGACCTCCCTTCTGACAGCTGGATGAAATGGAGTACAGGAAAATCGGCACTAAAACTAAGGACCCACCCAACATAGGGAGGTCAACAGAAGACCCCAGCATGACACTGGAATCCCAATAGAACTGTATCTTCAGTGTAAGAGAGAACGAGACATAATCTTGTACCACAGGAGATGGCAAGGAAACTTGCCTGACTTGTCCTCAACACTGGAGGAGGTGGGACAATAATTATCTTCCAAAACTTCAAAACTACAAGTTGGCCCTCATGAAAGTTTGTGACCCAAACTCACACAAGTTGTATGATCTTCAAAGGAAAAAGCCTCAGGCAGAAAATGTAATTCAAAGATGGCCTGAGTTGATGGTGCCTTCTTGCATCCCACAACTAGCAGAATTACAAATTCACTGTGGAAGACATATTTAATCCACCCCACAAAGAGTTCCCACAACTAAAAGTCCAAGAGATTTAAGTTCACAATCAAGTCACACACATAAAGACAGCAAAACCAGGTACCATGAAGAAAAGCCAGCAGAAACACAGGCAGCCGAATTAGAGTCAAAGATTAAATATCAGAACTATTTCAGATACGATATAAAACAAATGCTTAGTA